CTGACTCTTCAGGTTTACAAATATTATATTTTGACCTAAACCAAAATATAATATTATTTTCAAAAGCTTTTTTTGTCTGATGCTTCGATTAATTTTAAACAGACAGTTCAACAAAAGGATACCCAAAAAATGTCATTTTATCATTTAAATATTGAATTGTTCTCTCTTAGTAAGATCCCATTTTCAATAAAATGGCGGTCTTACCTTGACTTGAAGATGAAGTCCATTTGCCTATCCTTCTGGACAAACATTTCTATTACTTTTTTTGTAAAAGTCCTCCTTATGTTCTTGTAGTTTCAAAAGTCTATCATAAATCTAATCCATAGATTTATGATAAAAAAATTATATAAGTAGGGTAGACATGTGGATGTTATCCGGCTAATCAAAACGTGCATTTATCTAACAGGTACGTTTCCCACAGATCTTATTTCGAGCTATTTTCTAAAATCCTCTGGAGAAATCTCATTGCTTTTTTGTGCTTACTTCCTGGTTTTAGGACGCGTCACTGCAGCTCTCTCGTCTCCTCTTCACACACCACACTTTTCGCGGCACACGTACTTACAGCCAATCAGCTCTGAATGATTTGAGATGACGTATGGTGGGGATGGTAGCTCCATGCCCCTCTGGTCATTATTTTTTTGCCACACACATTTCATTACAAAATACTCTGAGCATGCGCAGTGAAGTTTTTACAGTCACCGTTGACTTCACAGCGAGAGGAAGGGGCATAATCAGGTTTTGTCCCACATGGCTCTAAACAGCTCAATAGGCACACACTGTGACTGTAGACACACTAATTAGAAGAACACAGACTAAAACAGCAATGTACAGACGAATCAGATGATTAAACATGATCTTAAAATATATTTTATATATATATATATTTTTTTTTTTGCATTTTTGTAATCATTATTTGTAATACTTTCTGCTGACACTAGGTGGGGCTGTGCCCCACCTGCCCCTAATGACCAGTCGCCACTGCATATGTTTGATCTTGTTTTTGCTCAAAGAACCTAAAACGCTGTCGATAGGCCTCTGGCACGAGTTCATATGCTCTAAGCACCGCTGATTTTATTTTACTATAGCTAGAGCTATCTTCCAGACATAAGGAGGAATATGCAGACTGCGCTCTTCCTGTGAGAACACACTGAAGCATCAGAGCGCAGTCTGCATCAGGCCACTCTCTAGCCCTAGCTACACGTTCAAATAACAAAAAAAACGTGTCAGGATCACTTTCATTAAAGTGAGGCAGCAAGCGCAGGTTATTAACATCAAAGCGATGAGGAGACCTGGGCACCTGTTCACCCTGCCCCTCACCGGACAACGCGCCATCTCTGAGAATAGCCAGACGATGTCCCTCCCACTCTATCTTGGCTTTCTCAGATTCTTGTCGCATCCGCTCCACTGTGATTTCCTTTTCCCACTTTATTTTTTCGTGTTCCTGCTGTAACAACAACATTTCCCTCTGCTGCTCAAAATAAAGTGCACTTGCCTGAAAACGAGGTTTTAACAAAACCCCCTCTTCCTTTGCAGCAAAAACTCCCGTCTCCCTTAACGTTGACACTATAGAGTCTTTAATGTTGTCTTTCACCCTTCTATCCCCGACAATAGACACAGCGAAATGCTCAGCAATTAAGAGCAGCTGCTCTCTTGAAAAAGTGCCCAGCAACTCCTGAGACGGAGCTTCAACAAATGCCTCTACGTCAGCCATATTAACTTCCAACGACCCCTCACCGGAACACAACACCGGACCTTTAAACCGAGAGATGAGGGGAAAAAAACAAACACAAAAACAAACCGGACAGATACCACCACGCTTGTTATGCGTGATGCGTCCAAAGTGGAACAACACTAATGTTCTGATTGGAGTTTCCCCACTAACTCACCATCCCACTGACTAATCTCCTCCCTAGTCTTCATGCAGTTACTTGTGGTGGGTATTTATGCACCGGAGACCGCTGGCCCAGCAAAGCGACTAGCAAGCTAGCAACACTACTGTGACCACGGCCATGCTCCCAAGCCGAAGCTTCAACCACTTTCTCCGCAACACTACACACCCCGCTCAACAATCCCAAGGGAACCGCCGCTTAACCTGCCAGGGAAAACTCTGCACCGCTCCGCACCAACAAACCCCCACGAGAGAAAAAGGAGAAAAACAAACCAAAACAAACAGCTGAACACGGCTAAGAACAACTAGCAACCACTCTCCCGAAATATAATACCAAACAAATCAAAGCCTCACAAAGTAATTAAATATGTCCCCAAACAACGATCTGAAATGTCCTTCCCACAACGAGCCGAAACATAGAAACCGGCCGCACTGCAAACGCGCTCCCAACAAACTTTATACACGCGCACCAACTCCCAACACAAATCTTACCTATCCGTTGCTGTATCACAGATAAAAGAAGTGGACGAGCCCCCATCTGTCATGGCCTGGCTCTTGGCCATAACAAAAAGCGTGGGAAAGGACAAGAACATATATGAAAAATATATTTATTAACAAAAGTTTAACGTAAACCAAGAAAAACTAACACAAAGGAAAAGCCAAAAAGGCTAAGCGACGTGGCTGCTCCGCGGTCAGGTCCCCTCCAACAGCCGCCAGGTGTCCTCAATCAGGGCGTCACAAGCAGAGGAGAAACATTAAAGGGCCATGCACCCCACAGGAGACCTTGAAGCAGGGGTCGTCACATACTGCCATGTGGTAAATACTTGTGTATGCTGCTCTTGCTCTCTTGCACTTTTTGCATATCATGTATTTGTTTTTGCTATGTTTGTAAAATGTAAATTTCTTAAATGTTTTTATGTGAGGGACTGCAAATGGAAATGAGCTCAAAGCTAAATCTGGCACTGTTACGCTTGACACATTTGAATGTTTTAAGTGTTCATTACAGTGCATTGTCCCTGCCAAATAAACGATTAAAGGGCACATGTCATGGCCATTTCCACTGATCATAATTACATTGTTGAGGTATACTAAAATAGATTTATACTGTGCAATTTTCCAAACTCACATTGGTTTCGCATACAGCATCTCTGTAAAGTATGTGTATTCAGCAGTATTCACTCTCTCCACTAAACGACTCGTTGGAGCTCTTGCTCCCCCCCCTCCCTGTGAGCCTAGTGTGCTCCGATTGGTCAGCTCGGCCACTCTGTTCTGATTAGTCAACCACCAGAGAGGCTCCGCCCGCTTTTTTCGGCTCGCTCTCAGAACATCAGTCTTATAATGGCGTCGGTACAGCCGTATATTTTATACGCTAACTAACCGAACTGTACCAACAACTGTTGTTATAGAAGAGTGTGACGGCCCCAGGGCCTTTGTGCAGGCGTGTTGCAGGTCTTACGATGGGGTGGAGCTGAAGAGGCTAATCAGCGCGATCACGGACACCTGGCCGGAGCCGAGGTGCTATTAAGCCCAGCTGCCCGGAGTCACACGGCGGCCCCTGTCTCTCTCCAAAGCGGCTGCAGAAAGACGAACTCGGCGATCCTCTCCACTCGACCACCTATCTCTGCATTTACCACAATAAATGTGCCGTGGTTTTGTAAACTCGTGTATGTCTCCTTGTCTTTCCGTTGTGGCCTACGAGCCGGTCATAACAAAGAGTAAGTTATTTTTACCTGTAATAAACTACTACTGTTTGATGAGAAATCAAATCATGGTTTGCTATATATGAATGATATGTTATAGGAGCAAATAATTCAGGGAAGAAAGGATAGGCCTACTAAGTATTTCCATCAAACTTTATTTTTAGAAATGTACAAAATGAACATAAATATACATATATACATATATCATCCATTCCTCCCCGCATCTTGCCTGGGCGCAGCCGGGGCTTTTTAGGACGATGCATCAGTGTGGTAGTCCCGTCCCCGTCATGTATTGTCCGGCAGGATCTGGCTGGACGAAATCAAATGCAAATCACAAAATATTAGAGAAACTTGGTTGTCTTAGATTCGTTAGTAGTAGTTGTGGTAGGAGTGTGGATCTATCTAATCCATCTAATGAACAGCTTGCCAGCTAATATGCTAACCTAGCTTTCTTGTTTACTTTGGTAGCTAACACGATATGAACGCTAGCTCGGAGGAACGGCAACTATAATGTAGTGTAATAAAACTACTATGAACAAAAGCTAGTGGTTCATATTAGGCTAGCAATAACGTGTTTCTAATTGCAATCTTATACGGGTATTCTGCTACGTTCGGTCATACATTGTAACTTGCATGAATACATTGTTTTGCGCTAGCATGTATAGCTAGCCTCGTTAGCTATACATGCAGTATGTACATGTACTGTCACAATGTACGGTAAATCACCCGGAGTATACTGTATGAGTATTCCGTGTGTGTGACTGCAGACATTCTCCTGCCATGACAAACATGTAAGGCCATCTGCTGACATTGTAGTTGATATATTTAAACGCTAGCAACGTAGCATAACACAAATGTTTTTCCGATCAAACCCATGTCTAGCTCCGTTGGTTAGATCGGTAGCATACACGCTACGCTATAATGCCGGTTCTTCGAACCTCTGAAGGAACAGTGTTAAAAAGACATTTCAACCACTGACTTCGTCGTGGTTCTTCCGTCGGTAGGACAAACAGCTCAGATTTCTCCTCACATTTCAGGAAACAGGTCCTTGGCAGTGGCATGACTGGATCGATTGTGAACTGAACCAGAGCTTCCAACAGTAAATGTTAGGCTGGCAGAGGGTGCGGCCAGCGCCGCTGGGTGTGGCCATAGCTCTTCGGGATTGGTCCATTTCGTTCCGGGTACCGCATGACATCAGGCCGTACCCGGAACTAAATGGAAGACTCAAATGGGCAGTGACGTATCTCCAACGAGGCATTTTGGGGAGGTATTTTCTGTGTTAGAGTTTTACTCGCGACAGGGTGTACTTTGAGGGTTTTGACTCTGCACACCGTTTACATGCATAAAAACCTTCATAACACACAAGGGGACGGGTAATAACCGGAAAAGCATGACATGGGAGCTTTAAATAAAAAATAAAATGTATGTTTTTTCAGTAATTTTATTTGTCAGAACCTAACCTAACAAAAAAAGTATATAGTAAAATTGTCTGAAAGCATTCAAGCAGCAACCTCCTAACAAAACAACAGAAAACACATTCTTACCCTGTTTTAAATTGTAAATAGTTTACAAATAATTTGATTTATTTAATTAACTTCCTCTATCACCTTTTTCTTTTTAAAAATGGAACACTGTGAATATACCAGGTCTGGTAGCTTTTTATGTATTTTAGACATATGAAGCTGTTTGGAGATTAGCAGACAGGGGCAGCACATTATATAAGGAAACGTTTCCTGTTGCTTCTACTAAACACCTTCAAAGAAAAAGACAAGGCTAATTTACAAATGTATTAGTATATTTATGTTTGAGGATTGATCAGACATGTCAGTTCTCTGCCTCTGCTGAAGCCGTGTCCTTTTCTGCACCTGACAGAAGAAAACACACGTTAACACTGAACGGCACATCAACTCTGTGTTTGCAATATTTTGAACTGTTGAATGTATTCCTCAGAAACATCATCAACAATAAAGGCTGACCTTCAGATGATGGTACATTTACAGCAGGTCTGTTATATTCTAGTTTTTTTTTATAAAGCTCACATGAAGTGTGTGTGCCTGTCCACAGCGTCAAGTCGGTTACACACTTGGGGATCCACTTGAGGATGGCAGGCGAGCCCGACTCCCCCCACTCACCCTCAGCTCGGTCCTGGATAGAATGAAGAACACACTGTGAGAAAATGTTCTACAATATATTGTTAACATTCATTTTGGTTTGATTTGCAAGCAAAACGCACACCATTAAGTACGCACCTTCAACACACTTTTATTTACATGTAACGGGCTGCCCAATTAATCCAAATGTAATACCACAATATGCTTGTTTGGTATAGATCCTCTTAAAAAAATCACACCATGATCATTGAAAAATAATGATAATGTGAATCGCAAATCATATCGCATTGGCAATATCAGTCAATCACAACTAGTCATTTTTCTAAATTGTGCAGCCACAAACATGAATCCTGAAGTTATGATAAAGTCACTCAACGTGACTGATCGTCATGCATATAAAGTCAAACATGCACTTAGAACAGATGAACTAAGGAAGAAGGAGTTCTAGCAGACAGAAAGGACACGCCTGTCTCTACTGACACACTCTGGAGTTAGAGCACCTCCTCGGTGCTGAGGTACCCCTCTCTGGAGCCTAGGTAGGGGGACCGCTGTGTTTTTAGATTTGTACCGTTCTCCTCATCAGTCGCTGGCTGGAGTTTAAGTTAAGAGAGTTGTTATGGTTACCTTGTGTCTCAGTGTCATATCATGAATGCTATCCCTTCTGTTTGCAGACACAGTAAGGAGAAAGAGTTGTGTGGTTGTGTGATCACCTGCTCAGCGGGGCGGTATTCACCGTGCTGCTCACAGCCGTCAAACACGTACTTCCCCGGGCCGGACGGCTGAGGAGAAAATAATCTGCTGTGATTGTTACTGAACACAATGTAAAACATGTTTTATTACAACCTGGGTTTTATTTGTGTGTATTGTGTTGTGTATGTGTTTAATGTGGTATGTACACTTTAGTTGGTGAATAAAATGTTGTTAAAACATTGTATAAGCATTTTGTGAGGTATTAAAGTAAAACTTACATTATTGTTGACAAAGTTACCCATGTATCTGTTGTTAGAGTGGATATACTCCCCAGCTGACTCCATCTTGCCATTTACCCATGAGCCCTTGTACTTGGAGACAGTTTCCTGGTAGTTGTAAATGCCCTGGCCATGCCTAGCAATCACATGAGACCAAGGATGTCAGCAGTTCTGAAATGCTATTAACGGTATTTACTGTAGAATGGTAATGTTCAGGTAAAAAGGTGTCGATATTGAAACTTAGCTTTGGTTGAAAATAAATCTACATCCTGTATATTGAAATCACTTTGTCAGGCTGTTGAAATAACATATGCAACCTAGTTGTCTACAGCAGTGATTTACCAAAGGTCTTAATCATTGAGTGTAGACAGTGTTGTAAGGAGTACTCATACTAGAAATACTACAGTGTAAAAATACTCTGTTACAATTAAAGTCCTGCATTTCAAATCTTACTTAGGTAAAATAACAAAAGTATTGGCATTCAAATATACTTAAAGTACCAAAAGTAAAAGTAGTCATTGTGCATAATGTCCCATGTTAGAATCATATTTATTAAATAACTGGATTATTTTTTGAATGCTGGTAAAGATTGTGCTACTTGTATCTACTGCTGCTGTATATCTTAACCTATACTTTTATACCATAGTTTATTTATATTTTGTTTAAGCTAATGATCTGAATCTGTACAGCAACTAGTAACTCATTTAGTCAAATACATGTAATAGAGTAAACAAGTATAATATTGGCTTCCAAAAAGCATTGGAGTAGAAGTATAAAGTAGCATAAAATAAAATACCTACAGTAAGTAAAGTATAAGTACCCCAAAATCTTACTTAAGTACAATACTTGAGTAAATATTGTTCACTACATTACACCACTGAGGTTAGATAATGGAAAACCAAGCTGGCTTTTAAATCCAGATGGCACAGAGAATTGTGTGCTTTCACAAAATGTAGATATACCTCATATGATGAAGCCACTCCCCCTCATAAGCATCTCCATTGGGGTAGGTGTAGAGACCATGACCCTGTCTCAGGTCCTCAACCCACAAACCTAACACACACAAAGTTGCCAGCTGAAAAATAGTATTATCTTCACAAAACTGTAAACGGACACACACTGATGGAATGTTGGCAACTATCCCAAAATAATATGATTCTTGTACCTTCATATTTAGAGCCGTCGGGATAGTAGAAGGTGCCGTGTCCATGTTTCATGTTCTGGTAATAGTCTCCAACATATCTCGCCCCATTCTTGAAGCAATATGTCCCCTATAGTCAAGATGAATTGTCAAAGAGACATTTATCTTGCAGGAAGCACACGTGGCAGGTACATTCAGAAACAGACGCTTTGCCACGGCCTGCCACATGGCCTCTGTTGCAGGAGCTGCACTGACTGGCCGTTTGAAGCTGATGCTGACTGACCTGTCTATGCACGTTGCCAGGACAACACTGTAAAATGTGCAATCTATTTGTCAAAAACATTTATTTTTGAAATTATTACTCCTGTTATTCACTTTAACTTTGGGTGCTTAATGAGTTAAAGGGAACTACTGTGTTTACTTGTTATATTCATGATGATAAACAAGATGTATTATGATTAAATAAAGAAATATAATTGCCAAAGATAAATATCAGTATTGACATACAGTAGCAACGTGTACACCTTTTACAAGTCTGTACAAATCGGTGGTCGTCTACTACAACAATCTTATTTTCCAATTGCATATATACCATTTTAAATCTTTCATGGACCTTGGCCCAGTGATGTCCTTAATATGAACATGTATGAGGAATCCTAGCTAAACAGCAGTCACATATTTAGAAGAACAATAAACGTTTTCCTAACCTTAACATAGGTTCTAAGTTAGAAGCTATTTTAAGGTTAGGAAAACGTTTTTCTACTGTTGGGGTCTTACTCCTACCTGTCCGTGCCTCCTGCCGCTCTCGTACCCGCCCTGATACACGTCCCCGTTGGGCAGGACGGCTCTCCCGGCTCCGTGCCTCTCTCCGGCTCCGTTCCTCCCGCCGTCATACTCCTGCGGGGACACGGCAGAGCGGATCACACAGTCTGTAGCCTGCTAATGCTAACGTTAGCTTCAGCCAGCGTAATTCCTTACAACAAAGCAAAGATGTCTGACTCACTCACAGACAGACAATAAACTCACCCCAAGTTTCCCGCGTTCATCATCAAACTCATCAGAACCGACATCCGACATGTTTCTGACTCCTTTGTCCCGGTGTGTGCGCTCTGCTGTTTACAGTTACCATGACAACGGCCAATTCCACGTGACCAGAAGTTGCATAGGTGTTAAAGAGCAGCTTGCAGGTTTTTTTTTTTTACTACATTTATGCTTAACCTTGCCTGAAAATTACAATTAAAAAAGTGAATGCAGGATTTGATATGTTTTACGAGACATAAGGGCAGGAATTCAGAGGGGGAAGTAGCCGTTTTGTTTTTTAAAACGCGTCATATTACGTCACATAAGGGAGCAACTTTCTCGGACTCCTTCTCTGCCCAATTCTCGGTAGTAGTTGGTAGTTGGTTTGAGCGGTTGTGATTTAGTGAGCTTGTATTTTTTCGGTAATTTTACATTGCATTTCACCATTTTTAATCATGGTGAGCTATTGTGTTTGTGCAGGTTGCACAAATTTGCCAGACTTATTACTGAATATCGTTCTTAATGTGATACCAAGTCCATCTGAGACCTGTGTACACCTTCAGACAGCCTCCAAGTGAAGCGTACGTTGTTTACTCACAGTTTGAAAGCAGCGTGGAGAAGTCTTCAGCTGTGATAAGCTGTGATCCGCTCGAATAAATCATTAACACCAGCTATTGTTGCCCGACTTATCACTGAATATCGTTCCTAATGTGATACCAAGTCCATCTGAGACCTGTGTACACCTTCAGACAGCCTCCCAGTGAAGTGTACGTTGTTTACTCAGTTTGAAAGCAGCGTGGAGAAGTCTTCAGCTGTGGTAAACTGTGATCCGACTTCTGTGACTATCTACCAGCGACCATGTTTAATATGAAAGACTGCACACACGTTTATCCCTTATAACTTTGCAGCAAAACACTCACGTCAATAAATCCTTTACAAGCTATTGTTGTTGTCAGTCTTACATTTGTATCATATATCGTTAATAGATGTCGAGTCGATATGATACCCTATGCTGTTAAGTATTTTATTTTGGTGAGTCTGTCGCAAGACAGAAAAGACAGGCAGTATTGCTAGAATATAAACCTTTTTTTAATTGCATTCTGTTTCTAGCACAACAGCTTCGGTCCAGGTTTACATCCTATCAGCTACTGCATTAGTAGACATAGCAACAGGAAATGGGGGGCCTATTTAGAAAGTTAGCGTTTAAAAATGTCTATATTGTGAGGCTAAATATTATATTGTATAGCATAATGTTGCATGGCAAATGTAACGAAACACATGGCCTGATTTGCATATTGGAACTTTATGTGTGCACTAGAACACATTCATATGTAAAATTAACACTTATCACAACATAATGTGGGCTCGCAGGCTGATAAACTAGGATATCTGATCTCGGTGGGTCTTAATGAGGCTTGATACAGACCTCAGTCAGTATATACTATTTCTAAGCAAATGCCTACTATAATATGTATATTATATATTATAAGTGTACATACATTCGCTCACATTATAAATGATGGTCGGGTTGCATTTTTCTGGAACTTTTTAACAAGGTTAATGTAACAAATTGAAGTGTGGTGGTCTAATATGTCGTGTTGATCCGTGGTGCACTCATAATGCGCAGGGTTCGAGTGATTTTTGCTGTTGGGACTCGGGTTTGAGTCCAGTATGAACTTTTTTGTTATTTTCATGTCGATGGACACTGAATATTATGTTTGAATAGAGGATTCCTAATATTGTTTGCCGAGACCAACATTAATAACCCATCAGCATTTTAAAGTCTAAATATCCCTGCACATGCTGCAATGACATTTCTGCTGCTATCTTTGCAAAACGAGTTAACAGTCACATCTTATCTGGATGAGTGCTGCAGAATACTGTTTTTATAAGGGATAAATGTGTGTGTAGTCTTTCATATTAAACATGATCGCTGGTAGATAGCCACAGAAGTCAAAGTTTAACCTGGGTGGATCCCAGTTGACCCTGGGCGGATCGCAGTTTACCTGAGAGGATCACAGTTTACCTGAGAGGATCACAGCTTACCACAGCTGAAGACTTCTCCACGCTGCTTTCAAACTGAGTAAACAACGTACGCTTCACTGGGAGGCTGTCTGAAGGTGTACACAGGCCTCAGATGGACTTGGTATCACATTAGGAACGATATTCAGTGATAAGTCGGGCAACAATAGCTGGTTTAAATGATTTATTGGAGCTCGCAATGTTTTGAACAGACATCCCCAGTCAACTCGTTTTTCTAAGACTAATCAAGTGTGAGCCAGTTGTATACTGTGCTAGTGCGAAGGTAAAACAACAGAAAAAGCACATAAGATAAAAGTGAAAGCTGAAGAGTCCAATAATGGACCCTAACCACCTTAACATGTGTTTGTACAACAGCCTCAGTTGATATAGTCACATTAACCAGTCGGAGACTAGGCTCACACATGTTCACCAGAAATCTCCACACTGAGTAAAATGGATACACTCAGTTCGGGAATCCTTACCATTTCCATTCTTATTATTTCTTTAATAATGATGGTTATGATGAGTTGTTATTTCTGCTTTAGACCAGATTATTTGGAAAATGCAGTAAATTATTCCTGGGGACTGCTTTGTTTTTAATCTGTTAGCACAACTATGGGTAACAGTTTTGTAGTCAGTATTCAATAATGTAATTGGTCTGAGATGATCTAATAATTGTGGTTCCTTGCCAGATTTGGGAATAAGAGTTATAATACCTTCTCTGATAGTGGAAGGAAATGCCATAACTTTAAACTATGACCATTTCTTATTTCTGTTGAGCGATTTACCAACCTGAATAGAATATTAATTAATACCTCATTTTAAATTAAAGAAATTCCCATTTAGAAATGTACAATTTCACAGACATCAAGCAATATTAATTTAAAAGGATCTCATCACATTTAAAATATATGGTTTGAATACTAAAACAAAATTATTTACATTTCAACAAACAATAATTAAATTTCCAATACCCTATACATAATGTTCTTCAGAGACAAAGTTCATTACAAAGGAGGAAATAACCAGAAATCTGTTCTTGATTTCTTTGAATTATGTGGTTCAAACCGGGAATATTGCATGATGTCTGGATTTTGAAGGCGCCAAGGATCAGATAAGTTATGAGAGCTCCAAAAATGACATAAAATTGGGTTCTTAGAGCTATATTGAAATTTGGGAGGATATCTGTCCAGCCGTTTGCATTGACCATGTTAAAATCTTCCCCTGTAATCACAAGTCCGCTTGGATAGTTACACTTAGGTTCAAGTTCAAGGCTTTTATTGGTCATGCGTACATAGCTACAGTGTAGGTATGATGATGAAAATCTTAGGTCACAGGCTCCTCCAACAGTGCAACACAATAAAACAGAAAAAACAGAAAAAATAGTGCAAGTAAATACAAAAAGAAAAATGGTAAAAAAGTGAAATAGTGGAATAGTGCAATAAGAGTCTATATGCAAGTGATTGAATATGATATATTAGATAAATCATTTCTAAATTGCAGCCAGATTAATGTTGTGGATGTTGTTTCAAAAGTTCAGGTGTTTAACAGTCTTATGGCCTGTGGGATGAAACTGTCCCTGAGTCTGGTGGTTTTAGTCCTGATGCTGCGGTGCCAGACGGCAGCAGACAGAACAGTTTGTGGCTGGGGTGATGGGGGTCTTTTATAATCCTGAGGGCTTTCTTCCTGAGCCGCTGGGAGTAAAGATCCTCCATGGATGGCAGCTCCGTCCTGGTGATGTGGTGTGCAGTTTTCACCACCCTCTGTAAAGCCTTGCGATTGAGGGCGGTGCAGCTGCCATACCAGGCCGTGATGCAGCCAGTCAGGATACTCTCTATGGTGCACCTGTAGAAGGTCAGGATGCTCTCTATCGGTGCACCACCTTTAGAAGTTGCAGAGTATCCTGGAGTCCATGTTGAACCTTCTCAGCCTGCGGAGGAAGAAGAGCCGCTGTCGAGCTGTTTTGGTGATGGTGTTAGTGTGATGAGTCCATGTCAGGTCCTCAGTGATGTAGACACAGAGGAACCTGAAGCTGCTGACTCTCTCTACCGTAGTCCCATTGATGGCGATGGGGGCGTGTCCCTCTCTCTGCTGCTTCCTGTAATCCACAATCAGCTCCTTTGTTTTGCTGATGTTGAGATGGAGGTTGTTATCCTGGCACCAAGATTTCAGGTTTTCGACCTCCTCTCTGTACGCCGTCTCGTCGCCGTCTGTGATCTGGCCGATGACGGTCGGGTCGTCAGCAAACTTCACGATGGTGTTGGAGCTGTGTATGGCCACGCAGTCGTGAGTGAACAGGGAGTAGAGGAGAGGGCTGAGCACGCAGCCTTGAGGGGCTCCGGTGTTGAGGATCAGGGTGGAGGATGTGATGTTTCGCAGCCGCACTGCCTGGGGTCTGCCCTTCAGGAAGTTCAGGATCCAGTCACAGAGGGCGCTGTTGAGCCCAAGGTCTCTGAGCTTGATGACCAGCTTGGAGGGCACAATGGTATTGAAGGCTGAACTGTAGTCAATGAACAGCATTCTCACATATGTGTTCCTCTGGTCCAGGTGTGAGAGGGCAGTGTGGATGGTGAGGGCTATGGCGTCGTGTCTGTGGACCTGTTTGCTCTGTAGGCAAACTGCAGGGGGTCCAGAGAGTCAGGGAGGGAGGAGGTGATAAATGTTTTGACTAAAAGGACTTCATGATGATGGAGGTGAGTGCTACTGGGCGGTAGTCGTTGAGGCTGGTGATTTTTGATTTTTTGGGGACAGGAACGATGGTGGAGTGTTTGAAGCATGTGGGGACTACAGACTGCAGCAAGGACCTGTTGAAGATGTCTGTGAACACCTCTACCAGCTGAACTGCACACACCCTGAGAACACGGCCAGGGATGCCATCAGGTCCTGGAGCCTTGTGTGGGTTCACCCTTTTAACCTGTTAACCCGGCAGCCCCCGCCAGCTTTTTTTTCACAAAACTGTGTCTCAGGGCTTCTTAACATTTAACAACCTATTAATGATGCATACCCACTTAACGGGAAGAAACTCAGCTAACTGACAATATGAACCATTTTTAGCTAAACGAAACACAAGGGTAATACCAAGCCTCGGAATTAGCCCTGAGCGAAAAAATGCTGACGCACTTAGCACAGAACTCACGGTAGAAATACATTATTACTTATCGGATCTGCACAAACAAGATATCAGCTAGCAAACTGAGATTCCACAGATTATAGAGGTATAAGCAGGGGTGCACATAACTTTTTTTAGT